TAATTTAAACTTTGTCGAATTTATTACAATTTAATATAATTAACAAGTTTTTTTATACAACTCGGTGAAGTTCAACGTGTAATATACGATAAAATCTACATCTTGATAAATTTTCAGCTACAGATAGTTCAAAATTTTAAGATGCTAAATTCGTTTATTAGAAATTGAGATTTACACCGTCATATCTGCATAATGGGTAACCGGTTATAAAAATTTAGTTCTCCTCTTAGTACAGGTTAAATTAGACGATGGTTCATAAATATCCATAAACTAGATAAAGAAAAACGAATTAATAAAAAAAGTTATCGAATAATAGAGATTCAGAAGTCTAAAGCTTCCGACTTGATTTATATTATTTCCAGAGTACTAAACATTAAAAAATTCATAATTCTATTAATTTTTATCTGAATCATGTATTCTTGGTATCTATAAAAATTTTGTGATGTCTAAATTACACATAAAATAATTTGGTGGTCAAATATTAACAAGAAAAATTGAAAACATGGTTGGAATCTTACTGTATGTGATGCAGAATCCAGGATCAACTAACGTGATCTAAAACTTGGCATATAACATCAATATTCAGAATCATAAAACTCTCAACAAATCCTCCATAGTTGACCTACATTCAACACGTGAATGTTAACCAACGCCACAAAAAGGAACCTTGATGAGTAAAATAAATTTAAGAAGAACTGATAAAATGCATAAAAACTTACCTTAATAAGTTAAATCAATTCTCACTCAACAAGAAGGTTGACGAAACTTAAATAATTGAAAACTAAAACTTCATAATTTTATTATTCTCAAACTTGAATGATTATAATTATGAATTGAAGATCTATTTATAGAGTAGATTATATGCATTATAAGAAAATAAATTTCCTAAATTAATGGTAAAAATTATAAGAAAATTAAATTTTATATTGAATGAAAAAATAATAAAAATTAAGAAAACTTTAATTAGAATATGATAGATAGAATATTCTCATTTTAAATGAGAATATAATAATTAATTATAGAGGAATTAAGAAAAGTAAATATGGTTAATTAAAACTGACCATTAAAGGAGCAAAGAGGCCGTCATATCTTTCCTAAACTCTGAGATTTAGTTTTTTAAAGAATGAAATTTGATTTTATCTTCTTTTAAGATATCACATAAAACATTATCTAGAATTTAATGACCACCATAACTCCTTTCTTCAATATACACATATTTCTATTAGATCCCACACCTAAATGTTATGTGAATGAGTATTAAATTAGTTTTGAGAAACTTACTTTGATTATTTGAGGTTATCTCATTCTTTCTTCTTTTCTTTATCTTTTTTTTCTTAAAGTTCTTCTCAACTATGTTAACTAAAACCTAATAGTTAGCTTATATATAGGATGACTCTCCCCTTCTTAATGAAACCCTAATATACTTTGTTAATTATGAAATAACCCTTTTATTTATGAAAATTTAGAATTGTTATTTTAGTAATCATATTATTTTTTTGGACAAGGTATTACATTCATTCCCTTTATGATATACATATTTAAGAATGAGAAAATATCGACAGAAACTTAAACTTTTTTTGTTATGTTATGTTTAAAATACAAATATAAGAAGAAGATACATACATATAGTAAACCATTTATATATGTACATACATGCACCTTAAATTTTATGTACCTATCTAAACATACATGCATCTTGATATAAATGTGTACTAAGAAAAATCTAATATATTAACACTCCTTAAGAGTTCTTATATATGCCTGATTCAACCCATAATTCCTCAAACCTTCCTTTTTTCCATTACTTAGTTAATCTATCAACAAGTTAATTATTTGAATAGTAGTGAGTCAAACTAATATTGCATTCTTTTTGCGCTTGTCTAATAGTATGATATTTCACTTGACTATACTTAACCTGACCATGATTAATAAGATTCTTTATCATACATAAAATTGATTGATTATCAACCTTGAGCATCCTCCTTATTGTATCATACTCTTAGGGCCTGCTTAAGGTCATACAAAGTCTTATAAAAGTTGTACACATAAATCTCACTATCCTTAACTTGAACCCCTTAGGTTGTTCAACATACATTTCTTCATACAATTCTCTATTTAGAAATGCAGACTTTATATCAAGATAAAATATTCACCATCCCTGTTGAGCTGCAAATGCCCATAACAGTTTTACAGTTCCATACCAGTCTTGCTTCATGTTTATGAACGGTTCCACAAGATTTAATTTGATCTCGAAAATCCACTTTACACCTATGACATTTTTTTTGCGTCTGGTTTATTTACCAAACTCCAATTGTCATTTTTTTTTATCATGGAAATCTCCTCCTATATACCTTGCTTTTATTTTTTATATTTGGTTGAATCTTCAAAACATGAAGGCTCGAGCTTCACAAAAGTTTTGTTTTTAATAGATTTTAGATAAGGATTTTACCTTGAGTACAAATGACTTAGCTGAGATCTTTGAAAGTGCATCAATCTTCTCTTCTAATAGAGTGAAACGATCTAAGAACTAATAATTAATTAAAAATTTTATAATTGAGTGAAAATTTTGAAAATTTTTGTATAATAGAGTAGAAATTTATATATTTTAACTATTTATTCTCTTTAGTGGCCGCAAAAACGAAATAAACTGTTTATCCTAAGCATAATTTAACTAATACATTTATTTATAGATTTTATTATTACCAACTCCTACAAATATTACCCAAGTGGGAGATAATAAGAGTTCATATTTTACTATTAAATTGTGAATTTACTATTTACTAAAATGAGCTAGCATATGGTTTTGGGGATAGTTACATTTTGGCCAATCACATGATCCTTTCAGTGGCAATTATGTAATTTAAATAAAATCGACATTAACATCTCATAATATTAAATGATATACACTAGCAACTTAGTACAAATACGTTTATAATCTAATATAAAATCCACTACATAAGAAATAGCTAAGAACTTAGTCATTCCCCTTCACTCCTATACATATAACTTGCCATAATAATATCATCTTAGGAATGTAAAAAGAAGAAAAAAAACCTAAATAAGACTCCATTAATTGATCACTGACATGCATTCCTGTAATTCTATTACCATATAATATGATATCTCAATCAAATATAAGTATTCTATATTATTTAGTTATTATGTAACGTAGATGTTTTATATAACTTATTTTAAACTCAAATTATCATTACGTAGAAAATATTCAATAATTCTGAATCATCGAATTGTCTTCTATAAAATATATATATATATATAATAACTAATTACTTAATTTTTTTTTTTATACTTAATACTCAAATTGATGAGCACTTATATATATATGGGTATATATAATTATGTCATAAATCAATAATATAATGAGAAAGATATTGGGAAAAAAGTAACTCCAATAGAGTTTGTTTGCTAGAACATGTAAGAAAGTATCAATGAGGGTATGCGGACCATTTGGTACAATGAATATGAATATATATATATATATACACACACACACATATACACATATACATACATATATGTGTATCTATATATATATATATATATATATGTCAAAGGGGACGAAGAACTAAGTGAAGAGAAAGACTCTCTCCTCTAAAAGAATAATAAAGTGAAAGAGAGGGTTAGGTGTGGAGTGAAGTGCGCTTAGTGAAAAAATATTATAATGATGTTGGAGGAGTTAATATTGTAATGTGGTTTTTTGTGTGGGTGAAAATCAAGACAAGAAAACCAAAGTCAAAAGTTTGTCGGTGTCAAACAACAAAATTGACTCTTTAAAAAGAAGAAAAAAAAAAATTTATTAGTGTTTTTCTCCATTTATGCCTTAATGGTAATACTATATATACATGTATATATATATATATACACACACATATATATATAATATAGAATTTTTAATACAATCTCTTTCTCTCAATTTAGTGGTAATTTTCAATTATTTGAGGATTTGTGGATGAAGATTGGGAAAAGTTATAATTAGTGCCTTGTATTTTTAATTGAGATAACTTACATCATCTAGTTTTATTTTTTCTTTTCAATAAAAATCTATCTATACATATTATATATAAAATTGTGATGTAAAAATGTTAAATACTCGCGTTGAACATGGAATTATGTTTTGAGGGCTAGAGATTAATTTCTCTGTAGTAAAAATAAATTATCATATTCTAATATTACAGTTCTATATTGAAAAAATATTATTGACTATTAAACTTCATATCCAAACTCGAGTAATATGTTACTAATAATTTAAATTCTTAACAACTTGTGATTTGGACTTCAAAAGTTGTTTGACGCGTGGTTATTGAATTAAAAACATTACAAATAGTATCAGAAATATACGTCAGTTCCGTTGCTGCACCTGGTATGATCTTAGAACTTACGGACATTTGTACTGCAATTTAGAACCGTGTGATATGTGGCATTGACGAGCACATCAAGAATTTAAATAATGGGTGATATCTCTGTATCAACTAAAAAGATACGTGCAAAATGATTACGTAAGTTAAGACTAATGATCATTATTTTTTCATTCTTGCAAGATTCATAAAAGTGTAACGTAAAATCTCTCTTCTATAAGTTAATCAGACTCTAATTATTTTTCAAATTAGTTCCGTAACATGAATCTACATATCTTACTGGTGCTTTTTTTTGTTACTAATTTTTACTCCATTTCTAACGCATGTCGAACTAATTTA